TGTGCCAGCTCGGCGAGGGAGGGGCTGTCTTGAAGCCATGTATTGATTAATTGAATTAGGGGTGGCTATACGGTCCGGTCCGGTTAAATTGGCCCAAATTGATCCGTTCCAGTCCGATCTTTTTGGAAATATAGGGACCAAATCTTGAATTGGGTACAATCCAATTTTGGCCCGGTCCGGTCTCAACCCGATTTTGATCTGTTTTGACCCATTTTGACCATGTTGCAAAAAATTCAGCAGCATATATCCATTTTCCTAGAATCTAGACAACCTGTTAGTGGCAAAAATCAAGCCAAACATGGTCCAATACAAAATCACAACCATCATTGATGTCTATTACAAACTCAAAGTTCAATTCAAACTTCAAAATAAAAATAAAGTGCATCCCAAGTTCACAACCAAAATTTAGACATCAAACACCAAATTCACTCCAATCTAACAAATTCACCAAGCCATTTCTACTCATAAGGTTCAAGAGAAACAAAATAAAGTGCATCCCAAGTTCACAACCAAAGTTTAGACATCAAACACCAAATTCACTCCAATCTAACAAATTCACCAAACCATTTCTACTCATCAGGTTCAAGAGAAACAAATGAAGCATTAGATCCACCTCCTTGATTTGATCCACTCCTCGAGCCAAACACATTACTCCCTCCGACATTGGACGTACTTGTACCTTCGTGTCCACTCACATGCTCACGCCTTTCCGCCTCATCCACCATAAAAGCATTGTAAAATAAATGACATGGATAAAAAAAATATAATTGTTAGCAATAGCATTTACATGGCCAAAACTAAAAACTACAAAGTAATTTACTTACCACTCACGAAGTCTTCTTGATCCGCATAGTCATCATCTTCACCATCAAGATGCTCCACAAACTCACTAGAACTTGATCTAAGCCAATCTTGACTGCATATGAGAGCTTCCACAATCTTAGGATGCAAAGAGCTCCTAAATTCATCTAAAACACGTCAACTTGTGCTAAAAGCGGACTCGGAAGGAACAGTTGACATAGGAATATATAGCATCTTACTCTGATAATACTCAAACAACTTCTCAAGTTCATCATTCAACTCTTTCACCAAGACTTTTGGCCTATCCTCTCCACACATCTTCTTGAAAATATGATCCGGATAATTCATCTTATGCCTCGGATCAAACACCACAGCCATGTAAACCAACTTGTTCAATCTGAAGTTGACACAATTCTTCTCCGACCAATATTTGTCAACTTTAGCCTTCATCTTCATACCCATCCTAACTATGTCATCATCTGTGCTATTAATCATTTTCTCAACATGATAGAATACCCTTCCAAACTCTCTCAAGAATCGATGAGCAGTCACAACAGAAGTAGTGGATGCAATCAAAGTCAAATCATGAAAGAATTTCAAATACTTCATCAAAACTTTTGCATTCTTCCAATTGTCATGTTGAGGGACACCAATTTCTTGATTCTTGTACCTCTTTTCCTTGAGCTCAGGCTTGTAATCTTTATCCTTCCTCTAAAGACTAGAGAATGCATCTTCAAACAACACATCAGCTTCAAGCATGTAGTAGGTGGAATTCCACCTTGTAGGCACATCTAGACTCAACATCTTCTTGGATTCAATGTTGTGAAATTCCATACACGCCTTGAACTTTGCCAATCTAGATGGTGATGATCTAACCCATCTCACAGCCTCTCTTACCCTCCTTATTGACATGCCCATCTCTTCTAAACCATCGCTCACAATCAAATTCATTATATGAGCGATACACCGCATGTGAAGGTACTTTCCACCAACTATATTAGTACCCCATTCTTCAAGTTGATCTCTCAAATGAAGAAGTGTCGTGTCATTTGCACTTTCATTGTCAACTGTGACTGTGAAAATATTTTGCAAACCCCAATGCTCCAAACAATCGGCTATTGCATCACCTAGATCAATCCCGTTATGACTTGTAATCTTGCAAAAACTTATCACCTTCTTGTACAGCTTCCAATCCTTCCCAACAAAGTGTGCAGTGATGCACATATAGTTAAAATTTTTACAAGAAATCCAACTATCAGTAGTTATGGACACCCTTCCTCCACACTTGATCTTGAAGTAATCTCTCAACTTGCCCTTCTGTTCAAGAAACAATCTAAAACAATCTTCTCTAATTGTTTTTCTACATGGAATCTTAGACATCGGACAAGCACGAGCCATGAAGCGCTTAAAGCCTTCTTTCTCCACACTCTTAAAAGGCATTTCATCTAGAATTATCATTTCAACTAACCCAGCTCTGATAAATGCTTGATCAAATTTCCAAGTCCCCAAAACTCCTTGCCCTTCAATAGAACTTGGATTGAGTTCTAAATTCAACTGCTTCCCCTTTTCTTGTAGTTTCTTTAAGCACCTTATAGTATGCCTACCCAAAGAACTTGTACCAATGTCTTTCCACAGTAATGACACTTTGCCTTCTTCTTGCCTTTAGCATCTTTGTAACAATCAAAATGATTCCATACAGGTGATCTTAACGTGTACTCCCTACTGCTCTTATTCGTTACAGGTGTTGTTGTGGTGTTAGTAGCTGCTGGCTGTTCTTGTTCTTGAGTTGTATCAGCTTGAACATTAACATTACCACTGTTATTCCCACTTTCAACAGCGGCCTTTGAAGCTTGCGGTTGTGATCGCTTCTTACTAGGAATAGGAGGCAAATTATCACCTTCTCTTGCTTCCGGTACTCGCTTCTTAGTACCCTGCACAAAACAATTCAATCTATATAAGAAAATGCACTTTTTTGCCTTCTCCATTGAAGAACAAACAACCTAGCTGCTGCTCACTAATCCCGTCTATCTTTCACCATTCAATTCATCACATTCCACCATTCAATTAATCACTAAAATTGAGCATAGATAAACTACAACTAATTACAAATAATATTAGTAACTTACCCAGCTGTTGCTCCCCTCCATATTTCTGACTTTGGAGGCTGCTGCCGGCTGTGCTGGTCGACGAACAGAGGATGGTGAGCCGACGAAATGCAGAGCCGACGAGATAGAGTGGAGGGCGGAGGCTGGCTTGGTTGAGATGGCTGACGGGTCGACGGGACATGATGGATGACGAGCCGACGAGATGCAGAGCCGACGAGATGGAGTGGAGGGGCGGAGGCTGACATGGTTGCGACGAACGACGGGACAGGACGGAGGCTGGTGGAGGCGTGGAGTGGCGAGCCAGCGATTGTGGGAGGCGTGGAGCGGCGAGGCGGCGACGATAGCCTGCTGGAGGTGTGGAGGGCGTGCCGGCGACTGTGGGAGGATGGAGGAGAAGCTCGGCTGGTGAGGATGGAGGATGGAGCGGCGACTACTGCTTTGCAAGCAAAGGGAAACCAATTAGTCAAACCCTAGGCTGCTGCTTTGACAGAGAATCTCGGCTGGGCCTAGGGGAGGGAGGGGAAATTGGGTCGAGTTGCAGACTTGTAGTGGGTGGGCTTGGCCTGCCCCTGGACTTATTTTAGTTATCCGGTCTTCCAGTTTTAACACAGTTTCGATTGGTCCGGGTTTTTTGCTATTTCTAAGACCAAAATCGGGATTAGATTGTTTTAAATCCGGTTTCGGTCTTAAACGGTTCGGTTTTCGGTTTTTAATCCGGTCCCGATCCAAATAGTCAACCCTAAATTGTATAATAAAATATGTATATTATTAGATCATATAATTACTTTTAGGGGTTGTTTGGATTAAGAAATTTGAGGAGGAGTTTTGCCACAATCCCTACCCTTCCCGGATTTCTTCCAATTTCTTCGTTTGGGAAGACTCCAAAAATTGAGTGATTTTGGACTCTAGGAATTTTGAAATTCTGCCATTTAGGAATTTCAAAATAGCTAATAGATCCAACTATTTCAGAATCTTTGGTTTTTTTTTTTTTGCTCCTCCTACCCACTACACCACCACCGACGTCATCTTCTTCATTTCTTTGACCAAAATCCCCGGCCGGAGTCGTCCTTCCCAACGGCGACCTTATCGATCTAGCGGAGTCGCCCTCACCATAGTCATCTTATGGCCCCAACGAATCTGGAAAGAAACGAGTGTTTTGTCGACGAAGGCTTGAATTTGGAAATCAATGACTGAGTGAAAGGGTGACAATCGCTGATTTCGAATCTGAATTCACATCGGCAGCCACCTTGAAAGGGCTTCGCGTGGGAGTAGCGCTTCGCGTTGGTCGATGGTAGAACATCGACGATGAACAGAAGCAGTCTCCTTGCTGCCCAACAAATCCAGCGAACAACTCCGACTTAGGTAAGGCGTTCCTCCTCGTTACTAGAAGACGACGGTGGGTTCTGAATCGCCGGTGTGAGACAAGCGGAGGAAAAGGTAGATGAGGAACACGGGAATCAAAGGGGTTGAAAATCATCCAGATTCTTCTGGGTTCTGGAAATTGGATGCAAATCGAAGGTATCCCGTGGCCGATACAACGGTTTCTTCTGTGTTTTCTAGCCATACATTTCTTTTATGCTTCTGGTTTCTGGGGACGACGAACGCTGATTTGGGGAGAAGACAAATGCCGATATGGGGAGAAGACGAAGGGACAGGGACAGGGACAGGTGCAGGGGCATATTTGTCTTTGAGGATATTGGGTCTAAATTACTAATATGTAAACAAACATAATATTTGGGCCAAATTCTTAATATTAAATCTATGGTGTTTTAAGTTGGAATTTGTGCCCAAATTGTTCTCAAATCTCTCATAATCAAATTTCTAATCCAAACAACCCTTTGGGAAATTACAAATTCAAGAGGAAAAAAGATAAAAACGAAACCCTTGTTTGATTAATTTCATATTTTTATGATAATTTTTGCCCAACATACAAATTTGTGGTTGTTTTTGAATGGTGCACAACAAATTTATTTGCCTAATCATATCTTTCTTTTGACTGGAGTTCGTCCAATTGTTGAAATTTATATCCAATATGATAAAATTATTATTTTATTTGCCTTATAAAGTATTGCTTCAGAAGATGAATTCTGATATTTTCAAATCCAATATTTTATTTAGTAAGAATATTTTTGGGATAAATTACAAGATTGGCCACTGGGATTACTAAAAAAGTTCATGTTTGGTCACTAAAAATAATTAATTCCATTCATAGTCATTAAAATTAGACAAACAGTCCAAATTTGGTCACTCTCCGTTACCTTCCGTCCGTCTCCGTTAACACTGTTAATTTTTTGCTGACGTGGTTTAACAGAATGTTGAGTCACTTAATTTTAGTCCTAAAAAAATAGAAACCTAACCTCCACATCAGAATAATCTCCACGTCGAACCCACTGATGACCCAACCAAACCCCTAACCCAACCCCGCTTCTTGACCTTCCCTCTCCCCGAGTTCCCCTCCACTTCAAGAACCCAACCTTCTCGGTATCCGATATCCAACCCGCCACCATTACAGAGATCTTGGACCTTAAAATCGGCTCCGGCGTTCCCAGAGTTCCACTATGCGTCAACAACCCAAACTACATTTCTATTTTTTCGAACCACGACATATTTGAAAAAGGAGAAGAGGTGAGAGGAAACGCTCTCTGCGTTTATTAACGAGTGAGTCGCCACCCTTACCTTCCAGATATGTTCGTGGGACGCTCCCTTTTAGCGAGCGACGCCGCCGAATCGTCCCTGAACGAAAGGCTGAACTATTTCGATGAGCTCCGATCCGTTGTCAGCCTCCTGGACGGCGAAACTGGTGGCGCAGCGGGGTCGACGAGTTGGGAAATTGCTTTCTTCCTCACATGGCAGGATGAACCATCCCCGCCCCAAGTCCTCGCCGGCTCTCTCTGATTTCCAGGCCATCAGACGCGAGACGACAGTGGATCCAGCTCTCACGAACCCAGAACTGCCTGAAGAAAGGTAGAACTCGAGCGTCGCCTCCAGTCCTTGGATTGTCGCTGGGATTGGCCAGTAGATCTGGGACTGTAAGGTAGCAGATCTGTTACCGCGATTGTCGCCGGGATAGGGTGGTTGAGATTGTCACCGGGAGTGGATTTGGATGAAAGTTGCCAAGATTCCCGTAGGGATTGGGGTTGGGAAGAACGGGATTCGGAAATTTGGAGGGTTTTTTTGTTTTCTGGGTATGGATTCGAGGATGAAAACTTGCCAAGAAGTTGAGGGAAGATGGGTTTCTGATTTGGAAAAAAAAAGGATAAATGTAATTGTTTCGAGTGGATTGATTAAAATAATAGGTTAGGCTGGTTCAAGGATTGGGTTGGACAAGATGACATGGTGGCCAGGCCTAAATGACATGGCGAGTCGGGTTTAATCATTTGCGTGTCCATTTAGGCTGATTAGACGGTTCTGTTAGCCATGTCAGCAAATAACGGACTTAGTTAACGGAGGCGGACGGAGATTAACGGAGAGTGACCAAATTTGAATTGTTTGCCTAATTCTAATGACAAAAAATGGAATTAATTTTTTTAGTGACCAAACATGAACCTTTTTAATAATCACAGTGGCCAACCTTGTAATTAAGGTAGAAGTTTAGTAATGTTATCTAGTGAAACATTAGGTTTTTATAGTAAAAATAATTAGATTTTTTCAAGCAATATTTTTCTTCTAAAATTGTTCTTTTTGTGTGAGTGAACCGCATAAATCACTTACTGTAACATGTATGCTTCTAAAAGCCGGTTTGCATGTAGTCTTGAAGTCTTTCAAGTGTGTACGTCGTAGCTTTCTTGTTCTGACCAATTAATTAATTTTGGCTTCATTTCTTGTAGTTTACCACCGAAGTAGTATTCAGAATTCAGATTCACACGTCGTTGTTTTCCCGGTACAGGCTCCTTCCAGCTGGTCATCTTATCGATTGCTCCAAACTGATATCTCCAAATTGACCCATTAATTAAATAAGAACCCAACAGAAGCAAGATAAGTGAAGCTAATGCGAAAGTTACGTTGCATTATAAATAGAAGCAAGTAATGCACGTCGTTGTTAGAAAAATAGTCTCTAGCGCTAGGCAGAGTTACGTTGTTTTCCCGGCACATTCTCCTTCCAGCTGATAAATTGCAGGCAGCTGATCATCTTATCGATAGCTCCAAATTGATCCATCAACTAATTAATTAATTAAGATCCCAAAGAAGCAAGACAAGTTAAACAGATGCGGAAGTTCCATTACAAATAGAAGCAAGTTATTAATCATGCACGTCGTACATACAACACAAAAAAAAAAAAAAAAACACACACCACACCGTAAACAGAGAAATTAATTAAGATCGATGAAGCCATTTATATTCATGTTCATTAGTATTGTAGTAGTAGTAGTAGCGATTCTGGGCGCTGCTGCTGCCGAACTGGACGATCATACATGCAAAGCATGCCAGCCTTACGCTGACTGCTCCGACTGTGACCAAGCAGCAAAACGCTGTTGTAGTTGGTCCCATTATTGTGGAGGCGGCGATCTTTACTGCACGAGTTGTCGTGACTTTCAGGGTAACTTCGTAGATCCTTGTAATTGCTACGATGACTTGTGTCGTCAACCTGGCCAAGCAAAGCAAAGCAGCATGCAATCGCGAATTTTCAATAATGCTACGCTTGATGCTGCTACTGGCCGTAGTCGTCGTTATCAGGAACATGATGACTACGTTCTACTTGCCACCTACAACCGCAACCTAAGCATGAATAACGTTTCGCCAAGTAATTTGCACGCCGTTAATATTCGGGTTCATGACTGTGCTGCCGCGGCCATATGCGGACCGTCGTCATCGGCATCGTCAACTCATGTTTCGGCCACCATTGTTCCCGGTCAGTGCCTACAGGTATAATTCAATTCATACTGCTTTCATCTGTGTGTATTTTTAAGCTGTAATACATCTGGAGATTGTACGATTTTGGAGCAATCGATGTTTGGATGACCAACACATCGACCAATCAAAGTTGTTAAAATTGGAATTAAATTTTTTGGTGAGTGGTTTTATCATCGTAGTTTTGTTGAACGACTAACAAATTTAATTACAATAAGATTTATATTGTGGAAACGACACCCTCCTGAAAGGTTGCTTCATTTCATAACAATTAAATAATCAATTATTAGCGGCATTTCTATGGTACAGTAGGGCTGCAAATGAGCCGAGTCGAGTCGAGTTTTACCCCAGGTTGAGCTCGGCTTGTTAATAAATGAGCTGAGTTCGAGCTCAGCTCGTTCTCGAGCTAGCTTGTTTCTTAAAATCTTAACTTTTATTTGGTACTTCATTTTTTATATCATGATACATATGATTTATTTTGTTAGTTAATCTCATCTTATACTTTATACTTTGTTAGTATCATATATCGTTTAGTTAATAAATTTTAACTAGTCCAAATCATGTTATTTCATTGTATCGAAGCAATCTATTATGCATAATTTTTTTTAAGTAGAAAATAAGATATATTTGCTCACATACTCAACGTGCAAAACTTTATATATGGTAAGATATATAAATTAACAACCATATGAATTAAAATCATAAGATATAGATTGATTCGTCCATAAGTTGGTAATCGAGTTGGCTTTCTAGCCACATGTTAAGACATATCATGAGCTCTAAACGAGCCAGCTCACGAGTTTAGCTCAACAAGCCACCGAGTCGAGCTAGCTTGCGAGCTTCACAAGCTGAACAAAGGTGAGCTCGTGTTCGGCTCGTTTATTAACGAGCCGAGTTTCGAATGAGCTTTTCTCGAGTCGAACGTCGAGCCGCTCACGAGCAGCTCGGCTCATTTGCAGCCCTAGGTACAGCCACGGCACTAGTGCCGTCATCTTTGTAGCCGTTGGATCTGTGGATGTTAATGAGGTCATTGATTAATAAGCACCGCTCAATCAAACATGGTTCATCAACATGTTATTATGGTTAAACCTTTTTCAATCTTTTTTTTTTTGGTCGGAGCCTATTTTTTATTCAAATTTATCATTTTAATAATTTTTTAATAATCAACATAAATAAAATTATTTGTTTCTAAAAAACCCTGATTCCCTAATTTTATCATGAAGTTCCATTGATCGCCGGCAGGAAGTGAAAGTGAACACCGGCAACTTAATTAATAATTTCACAACAAATCCATCTTTTTCGTCTCATGTTGATCATAATTCCCATAATCTGGCATTGCAACGGTGGGTTCCCAAGACAACTTTTTAACCGGCATCCCTCCGTACAGTTATGCTTGGGGCGGCGACATGAGCCCTGATGGCGAAGGTGTTTCCGAATAACTAGGTATCGGGATCTGAGAGCGCAATGACTTTGTGCATGGCATCGGCGGCCATCGGGAGTGTGCGATAGCCGAGTGCGCGGTGGCGGCGGCAGGGACGATGCTAGTTATGATCGGGCGGTGGCAAGAACGATGATGACGGTGGTGATTCCGACTGAGCTGGGATTCAATATTAGCGTGATGATGATTTAACTACGATGATGATGGTAGTCAGGTGGCCGGTAACTTGAATCGACGGAGGAGTCAACTTCCTTCAAAGACGATGGAGAAGAAAAGAAATAAAGGGGAAAAGTGAAATGGTTTAAATCAGACCCAACTAATATTGATTAAATCATTTCAAACCAAACCCATTTTGTTTGAACCGGCCAGGATTAATGCCGGAATTGGTGCCGTCAGGGCACCACAGAATTGCCCATCAACTAGGGCTGCAAATGAGCCTAGCCGCTCGCGTGCAACTCGGCGTTCGAGTCGGAAAAAAACTCGTTCGACACTCGATTTGTTGTTTAACAAGCCGGCTCGCTTAGTAAACGAGCCAAGCTTGAGCTATGCCATGCTCGGCTTGATAAGCTCGTGAGCTAGCTTGACTCGGTGGCTTGTTGAGCTAAGCTCGCGAGCTAGCTTGTTTAAAACTTGTGGAAGGATTAATTACTATTCTGAACATGAAATTATCTTGTTAATAAGGATGTGTATGGAAGTTAGATGTTATTTATAGTTTTTAGTGTTCTTTTTTATCATTTTTAATTTCTAATGTTCTTATTTGTACACATTTTTCAGCAAGAATGGTTCAAATCGAGCTTATCTTGAGCCGAGCTTGTACTCAGCTTGACAAGTTGTGTTAATGAGCATTTATCGAGCTGGATTATTTTAAATCGAGTCGAGCTGGATGATCAAAATTCGAGTTCGAGCCGAGCTCGAGCTAAAAAATTTATAAACAAGCCGAGCTCAAGCTAAGCAAAAACTCGACTCGACTCGGCTCGTTTGCATCCCTACCATCAACTAGTTATCCCAAAATTAATAAACTAATTAACGATAAAAAAATTCTTACTTCAAACCACAACGCGCAAACTGCTAAGTGTGTATGACACACATAATTCACAAAAACTAAACACTCAAACAATAAAGCAAGGGGCAAATGACTTTATAAACACACGTACTTTTGTTTTGTTTCAATTTGGTATTTCTAACGCTTAGAGACTAACCCTAACAATTGCACAAATTTTTTGTGGTTATACAGGTGACTAATCTCGAAAACGGGAAACAAGCAATGGTGATAATTATTGATAAACAAAACTGTCGCAATACAAGTTTTGTATTTGCCTATGAAGTTTTTCAACAACTCGACACAAGTGGGAATGGAAATGCACGAGGCCACCTTTCAATTAGCTACAAACATGTGCACTGCGTCGACAATTAACTCGCACAACTACATGTATGTAGTACTATGTACCATGATGAATAAGTGTTTTACCGGGGGGAAACTTCATGGTGTTGATTTGACTGATTTACGCTTCTGATTTCTGGAAATTAAGACAAAAAATTATCGGTTCACACTTTCTTTGAAAAATGTTCGAACGAAAGGAGGTTGAGTTTTGAGAATCTACATTAAATTAAGCAGCTACGCAAGTAAAAGTTGAAAAAAAAAAGAAGATAAAGTAAGACAAATGTGTTTCTGTTCGATTTTTTGTTCTCTTTCCATCATTGCTCCATTGGTTTTGTCTGAAAGCATCTCTGTAGCCTTCCCAATAACTCCTTTATAAAACTATCTTCGTGTAACGGGGCCAGATAGAATAACAAAACCCAATTTGTTGTTACTGTAACAACAAGGGTATAAGGGTAAAATTATAAGACAATGAGGAAAAAAAACAAAAAATTGGAATAAAAAAAGCAAGAAACGCATGTTTTCTTTCTCCTCCGATTCTCAATTGTTCAGATCTCAGTCGGAATAAAATTATAAGACAAGAAGCGCCCTTCTGCTGCTTGGGCGTGACA